ATATTTCAGGCTCTTTAACCCTAAAGCAGTGGTTTAAAGTCGCCGAGTCGGCAAGGAATCGGCCGATTCGACCCGAAAATCGGTCATCCCGTGTCGATATCTGTGTAAAACGGAGAATCGGTCGATTCGACCCAAGAATCGGTCATCCCGTGTTGATACCTATGTAAAACGAAGAATCCTAGAAATCAGTCATCCCATGACAATACCTGTGTAAAATGGAGAATCAGCTGATTCAACCCAAGAATCGATCATCCCATGTTGATACCTATGTAAAACGGAGAATCCCGAAAATCGGTCATCCCATGTCGATACCTATGTAAAACGGAGAATTAGCCGATTCGACCCAAGAATCGGTCATCCCGTGTTGATACCTATGTAAAACAGAGAATCGCCCGGTTTTAGAGAAGAACCGGTGATTCTGTACAGTAACTCAGTGCATGACATCATGAATCGCCCGGTTCGCCCAGTGTATGACATCATGAATCGTACAGGGCAGTTTTGTAATTTTTTGGGTTAAAATGGGTTATAAGTGTCCAACAACCTCCAGGCCACGTGTCCTTAACCACAAGCCCCGTGCTACTTCATGTGTTTAACGGACGTTGAGAGTTGGTAACAAAGTAGTATTTATTCCCATAATTTTATTATCCGTCTTTCCGATGTGGGATTATTGTGATAAAAGTTAATAGGTGAAATAGTTATATAATAGAATCTTTAAGTCGGATGAATAATAACACATTTCAAACTATGGTGTGGTGGTTAGCACGCCCTTTTCTCACCTAGACATAGGTTCAACTCTTGATAGGTTCCATGTCCTTCCCTCAAAAAAATTAAAGTTTTTTGTATATATATATATATATATATGGTTCTTATACAAAAAAAAAAAACAAGTAATACAATAAAATTTCTTTTTCTTGTAAAAAAATAAAAGTATAAAAATTTCCTGTCAAAAAAAATATATAAGATTCTTGTCAAAAAAACAAAAAAAAGACAATACATCAAAAAAAAAAATTTCTTGTCAAAAAAATATAAGTTTCTTGTAAAACAAATATAAGGTTCTTGTCAAAAAAAAAAAAAAAGAAGTAATACAACAAGTATTTCTTGTCAAAAAAAAAAAAGATTACTGTTAAAATAATAATAATAATAATAATAATAATAATAATAATAATAATAAGTAATACAACAAGTATTTCTCGTCAAAAAAAAAAAAGATTATTGTTAAAAAAATAATAATAATAAGTAATACAACAAACATTTCTTGTAAAATTAAAAATAAAAGGTTATTACTAAAAAAAATAAAAGGTTCTTGTCAAAAAAAAAATCAAAGGTAATACAACAAGTATTTCTTGTCAAAAAAAATAAAAGGTTGAATTTGTTATTATTTGTATAATAAAATAATTATAAAATGTAAACCAACAATTTTAATTTCAGTATATAATATTATAATTAGTTAGTTTGTAATAATTTTAGATATAATTAGTTAGGTTGTAGTAATTTTGGTTTTTTATTTGAGAGTTTGGTGGTCATTTCTCATCGATTTAAATCATTATTTATTGTAGTCTGTGTATGACTATATACTTCATCTATGATAATTCTATGATTTTTCTTTTTTGTGATGTAAATTTAATGATTAAAATAAGTTAAAACAAAAAAAGAACATCTCAACATTCGCATATTATTGAAAAAAAATGAAAATTAATAATATAATACCCCGATTTTTTATTGGATTCCTAAAATATATTTATAATGAATTTTAATAGTTTTTTTTATTTTTTTTTAAATTTAATCCGACTGATTCCCAATCCGGATCACCGATTCGAATGAATTTTTAAAATGTCCAATCCAAAACACCGATCCGTTTTTTAAACCACTACTGTAAGGTTTAATATTAGATGTTGGACATCATACTGGTTGGGTCATATGTGCTCTAAATTTAAGAAAATTAGAGCTCATAGGTTCAATTCCCACAAGCTCCTTTTTTTATAATTTTCAGGCTCTTTAACCCAAAAAAAATAAAAATCTTACCTTATCTTTGTACTCTAAAGTTAAGAGCTCATAGGTTCAATTCCCACGAAGCCTTTTTTTTTCTTAATTTTCAGGCTCTTTAACCCTAAAAAAAAAAAATCTTACCTTAGGGAATGGAACCCCCGTGACTTCAAAAAGCACACGCATTTGCTATCCAATACACCATTCACGCATTTATGACATACAGGTGACATAAAAGTATATATGTACTATCTAAATCTCATTACAACCTACTAGGATAAAACTTGCCTCGCCCTTAGGGCAAGGCTGAGTAACTCGGCCAAGTCTGAGTGGCCCCAGCCAAGTCTCGAAACACTGATTCCACATCTTACAAAATATTTTATCCCTTCTCTTCCAACAAATATCAATTACAGCGAAGCCACGTACCAACAAAAAAACAGTAGACAATACAAAGGAGGATCCAGCATCACCTAAACAAAACTTTATCAACAGTAATTCCTCCTCGCTCCGGTTGCAATTTCTTCATGTAATATTTTGATCTTCGAGAGAGATTGATTCTTTTCCTCCTCTCCTCTGGAATGGATTCAATGGGACATTCCGAAAAACCTCGCCGCACAAACCTATTGTTTCCAGGACACAAGCTTAAATTTAAGTCAAATTAATAAGGACAAGCATGCCATGCCCAGGCTGCGTATCCTTTCTCAATTTCCAATTATGGAGATTAAACATAGCTTCTGATGATAAACATTTACTTAAGTAAGGTCAACCTCCACCTTCCACTATTGAGAAAGGATGGTGGATGCCCTGGTTCTATTCATGCAGCACAAATAACCTGTGTATGGTTTGTTTATTTTCCCAGACAATAATTCATTGCAATGCATCCTACTCGTGTAAACTCAACACTGATATTGCGTAATCCTTTCACGTCATTTCACAAGGCATATGGACAAGTCAAGTCAAAGAGAAAGACTGAACAGAAAATAATGACATAATATTTATGAGCTGGAAATATCAAGAATCTACAGCGAGTTCTAGACCATACCAGTCAGCAGCACGCGTCGTCAGAAGGAAGAGAGACTCCAATCCCAACAATGAGGCTTTCTTCTCAACATAGTCTGTAAAAGTTCACATAAAAAACAAAAAAAAACAAACTTAAAAGCCCCAATAATGGACCGTAAGGTGGGAGAAAGAGTAATTGATGGACTGTATATAAAACCAGAGTAAGCAGAGCTCCTAGGAACAGTCTGGATGGTCTTGATTTCTTTCAGGATAGGTTATTTAAGGATACGAGCACTTTCCAGGTTTCTTTCTCATAAGAGGAGTAACATTTTGAGGAATTTTCCTAATAAATGGGGAGAGAAATAGCTCTTAACCATGAAGCAGATCAGATAAAACAGTCTTTTTAACTCATAAATGAGTGGTGTAGAAAAAGAGGCTATTCATTACCAAATGGCCCATACAAACTGGCCATTAACTATTACAAAGATGTGTATGAAGAATGACATATGATCACATTTCCTAAAGATAAATACACAAGCTTAGTGAATTACAAAGTTCAATATGCAAATGGTCCAATCAAAAGCTGACAAATAATAAAAATGCATGGTAGAAAGCATGGTAGGCTGCAGTGAAGCATTGAAGCATGGGAAAGCATATGCGGACAGTGGACCATCCAGACTCAAGAATCCAAAGATTTTCAGGTGTGATCTTATTGATATTATCCTCAGTAACTAATGAATCCAAAAGTCATACCAAGCAATTTGTCTCCTTGTCCATGCCCACGGCACTCAGGGGAGACAGCAAAAGAAGCAACTTCTCCACACTTTTCATTGAGGAAAGGGAAAAGAGCAGCACATGCAATAATAGAGCTCTCTCTCTCCACCACAATAAAAGAATCCAATGCTTTGAGTAGCTGATAAGAAAACATCGAGCCATATTGCCTTTAATTCATGTTTACTCAATTTTCATCTTCCAAAGCCAAGGTAAACACAAAAATCCATGGTTATTAGTTTATGGCATTATTAGTTTCAAATTTCAGTCAATGCAAGATGAGATTCATATCATCAATAACAAAAAAAATGCTCAGGCATAGGAAAGCGAAAAACCTCCTCATCAGTTCTTCTAACTAATGCGCCAGATTCTTCTAAAGGTTGTATAAGTCGTTTGACGCCAGCAATATCTGTCACCCTAGCCATTCGTGTCCCCTCATAAACATCACTACACAAAAGAAAAACAAGTGTTTCAGTTTTAGGGAAAACAGAAGATTCCAGGATCGAGCCTTTGAAAATATTAGGAATGTCCAACCTGAGATTCAAGGGGACCACATAGAACAAGAAGAACACTGATTAGGTCATAAAATGGATAGAGAAATGGAAGATCAACTAAAAAAGTAAAATTTATACAGCATATTAGTTCAATCCCATTATTTAAAAACTAAATTTATAAATATTAGTCCAGAGCTCATGTGCAGCACGGGGAAGAGAGACGGATTTAGAAATACCACCAATAGAAATAACAAAGCATCGTAACAACAATCATAACAAAAGAATAATCACAATAAATAAATAAATAAACGAACTTCCCAATTTTATTGCTTCACAATAATTGCTTAGAATTGCATGACTAAAACTGCCTACCACTAACGAAAAATGTAAATAAATTTCTAATAATTAATAAGCCAAAAAAATGTTAAAATTGGTGTGGTTATTTATGGAATCACAAGAAAAAAGAAAATAGTTATTACTATTTTAAAACCAAAAAATGTAAATAAATTTCTAATAATTAATAAGCCAAAAAAATGTTAAAATTGGTGTGGTTATTTATGGAATCAGAAGAAAAAAGAAAATAGTTATTACTATTTTAAAACCATAAAGATGCAGGCATGGAAAGGAAATATTTGAGTTTTTCTTTCGTTTCTCATTGTGGGTATTAAGGGATATGCTTAAGGGAATTTCTGAAACTTGTTTTTGGCATTTCCGAGTATAATGTTATTGCCCTATTGGGGTTAAGGAACTCACATGTAGGTCTGTTCGGTTGTTGTCACTAGTGATTTAGGACGTTGAAGTCATAACTGATGGTGGAGATTGAAGTAATAACGGGCTATGGTTTTGTAGCTAATGAGGGTTTCCTAGTTAGTTTGAGTACTTGTTTAGCGAGAGAGAGAAAGAGAGAGAAAAGGGGACTTGAAGTATTCACTTTCGTACTGATTTCTTATGTGGAAGAAAATTTGAAGCTTGTGATGCTTCTTTCATGGTGATTTCATTCTCTAGCTATTTTGTGCAGAACTTTGTGTCTATTGGTTTTATTTCTCCAATGCTTTGGTACTTTTTCCAAGAATAAGATATCAGGGCCTGCATCAATTGGTAAAAGCTCAGGGCTTCTTACATTGAATAAGATATCAGGGCTGCTTCTCATTCAAGTTGCAATCAGAATGTCATTAAGCAAACAAGGCTCCTTTTGCAAATCCAGATGCATTTACCCACAAAACCATCACCAAATTCACATAAAAACTAGATCAACTCACACATAATGTGCAAGCCATACCCATAAAACAGCAGGGAAGGGCGCCATGAAATCTGACATGAATAGTACAAGATTGATTGTTAAGGAGAAAGATCCATCATTCATCTTCTTGCTCAGCAAGAGGCCTTAGCACCAGTTGGTTTTCATAACTATCATGGAGAATCTTCTGTTTCTTCACAAAATTTGGAAGTGGTATATTGGGATTCACCAGCAATCTTCGATATATTACTGAAATGATGCTATGAAATTATAGGAACCTTGCTCCTAATGAGTTGTTAGATATTGAGAATAGATTTCTAACATAGAGAATGTGAAGATGGTTGAAGTAGGTTTTGTAATATCAATCCCTCTATCTACACAAATCGATCCATTTCTTGGGGCATTATAGGTAATCATTAAATTTTTGTTGCCAGCAGAGAGGAAGGTTAAGAAGAATGAGGATTTGCTATGGGGGCCGTCCAGACCCACTTCATTCGAGGATAACTTTTCTCCAACCAAAGGAACTGATGCAGGCACGGAATGGACATAGTTGCGTTTTTTCTAAAGGCACATAACTGTGGGGATTAAGGCAAATATTTTGAGGATCTTTTAGAGCTTGTGGTTGGTCTTTTTCTAGTATAGGTTGTTGGGGTTTAGGAAGCCATGTGTTGGTTTGTTTTGATGGTGGTTATTTCATAAGTTTAAGACATTGGATGGTTGAGATTTAAAGTAATTAAGGGGAAGGATTTACCAGAGAATTTTAGAGTTCTCAAGGTAGTTTAAATACTTGTTTAGAGAGAGAGAAAAGAGGAGACTTGGATTATATACTTTTGCATTGATTTCTTATGTGGAAGAAAATTTGAAGCTTGTGATGCCACTTTCATGGTGGATTTCCTTCTCCAGCTACTTGTGCCGAATTTTGTGTTTGTCGGTTTGATTTATTGCATGTTTTGATATTTTTTAAGAACAAAATATTGAGGCCTGCATCACAAGAAAATCATTTAATAATCAAATAAATTGAATTATTTATTAGGATATGTTACATCACATAAGAAGCATTTCAGTGCTCGTAAAAAGAACCTGCTTTTGATATGGTTGAAAAGCTTGTAAAAAATCTTGTTTTGAACCATCCTCAAGTTAAGCATGAAAAACCTCAAGAAAAAAAAAAAAGTGCGCAAATAATTTTCTACAATTTTCAAATACGGGTCGCATCCTCTTTTTACAATCCTGAATTTTGTTTTTTTCCTTTTTTTTTTTTGTTTTTCCTGAGGCTAATTCAGCAAAGAAAAGATTATCTACATGTGGTAGGAATGAAACTCAAGACATAATGTTGTGGCACCCTGCCACCTTGATCACCTCACCTTGAGCCCATTCCTATAATCCTGGATTTTATTCCTTTCAAACTCTGTTTCAAATATAAAAATAAACGAAAGTGTCAACTCATTATTTCCATTGATAAAAATAATAATTTAATAATAACAAATTAAAAAAATTTTAAGGTGTTGTGGTAGTACTCATTTTCAACTATTTTAATATAGACTATTCCGCCGCTCGTATGATACACAGGCACAATTGTATAGGTGCAGCCGACCAAATTAGACACTATTATTCTAAATTGAAACAAAATATTATCTGATATAAAAATTCAGCACATTAAAATAATAAAAAAGCAAAAGATTCCTCATTACTACTGAAAAATTTAAAAGGAATTCATATCATTTGATAACTCATCTTAAATCCTAGAAATGCAAAGAAACATAATTATTAGGACTCTACTGCATAGGGATAAATTATTTTAAACTTTGTTATTTTAAATTATTAAAAAATAAAAATGGAAATTTTAACTAAAAATAAATAAATAAAGAAAGTGGATTTCTTCCATTTCTAAGAAAACAAAAATTATTGAATTTTAAAAAAACTAAAAATTTATCATTCCCATAGGTTTAAGGAAATTTTATTTCATGTATAAGGAGGGATTCCTACTTTTTTAGGAGAGATATGCAAGGAAATATTTCATTGGGACCCCAATTGCGAGGGAGTTCACTGCTTTGTAAGAGAGCAAGAAGTCTAAAGATTAAGCCAGTGAAAATCTAGGACCTTGATTATATGACGACAACACGCACACACATGCATCCTAAATAAATTCTAGTAGTAGTAAAGATGAATACCGTCAACTGAAAAGCAGAAAGTTTAAAAATATCAGCATTGTGGTAGCAAATAAATGAACAGAAGAAAATGCATAGTGACCAGGAAACATTTAATTATAATATGGATGGTAACGCACCTCGCCACCATTGTTCCTACTCCATCCCTTGTAAATAATTCAAGTAACAATGCTCCACCTATAGTGCCATCTAATAGATGAACTCTTTGAACACCGCCCTAAGCATGCCAAGAAATGGGGAATAAATAAAAAGCTACAATATTTGTATCTCAATACGAAACAAAACTGTAATATAGGATATCTTTTATGGGCAAGCTTTCTATGCTTCCCCTACAGCATAAAACTTATATACTTCACCTTATCCAACCGTCCATTTTGAATGGAGGGCTAAGATTGCCCCAATCACAATGGCGCGTCTCTACACTATTTTATTTTTAATTTTTTTCTATAAACTATTTTGATACCGATACCAAATTTTGGACGTCCATTCCTCTATTAAAATCACACTAGTGAAAAATATAAAAAAAAATATTTTTAATAAAATAAAATGATCAAAATTGTACGGCTGGATGGTAGGGGGAGGATAGAACTTCTATGCTGTAGGGGAAGTAGAGAAACCTTTCCCATCTTTTATTGACAAGGCAACTGATACATACAACCCTCAATTAACTTACATCAGGTTATTGAACACGGGTAGCCAATCAAGAAACCATAAAATTTCATAGACTAGCAAAACATAACAGCTCTTAAAATAACAATGCAATAGGGAAAACAATCATAACACATGATTATCTCAAACTTCTATAAGTTGTTTATCAAGATTAGGAAATGTGATGGACGTGCCCAACACTTAAAAGTTGAAGAAAGGCAAATGAGACATCACTGTATGCTCATTCTAGCACTACCAGATGATAACAATAGAGACAAATCACAGACAAAATACATTAGTATCTATCAGTGTTTAAAAAACCGCCGAGTCGAACCGGACTCACCCGGTTCGACTAGAGAATCGGCCATAGATGTCTCGAATCGCTCAAAAAATCGGGAATCGCCCGGTTCTAGAGAGAACCGGGCGATTCTGTACAGTGACTTGCCGATTCACTGTACGGAATCGGCTAGTCCCGTGAAGAACACGGACTGCACAGTGTTCTTCACGGGATTCTTCAAAATTTATCATTTTTTGATCATTTTTCTTGTTTTTTTTTTCAAGTGATCTAATATGCAGGCTTTAAACAGCTTTATTTAGCTTTTTCACGGATTAAATGGTTGAGAAATTTTGTGTTTTTGGATCACGAAAGTTGCATTTTTAGGGTTTCTGCCTTTCCTTGTGTTTCATGCCAAATAGGGCATGAATCTGTCAAATTTTGTAAGCATTTTGATCGTAAAGTTGTTCATCAAAACCTTCTGTTACGAATTAGTGATAATCGTTGAGAAAAACAGAGTTATTTGGAGATTGAAGGCTCGGGTTCACAAAACCAGATAAGAAGATTAATTTCCGCCATATGATTAATATCACTGCATATTTTGAAGATCATGAGCTCAATTTGTAGGGTTTTTAATCTTTATTGTGTCTATTATGATTTAACATATTCAATTTTATTTAATTTGGTCAATTACAGCATAATTTTTTAGATGAACACAGTGATGTCTGTGAAAAAACATTTCTGCTGTTTTTTTTTTTTTTCCGCCTTTCGATTTTTTGTTCATGATATATTACAAATAATGTGTTAGATTTCTAGCGTTATTAATCCTTATAGTGTTGTTTATAATTAGATGTATTCAATTTGATCTGATTTAATCAATTTGAGCTTCATTTTTTAGATTCAATGACTGTTGTCTGTGAAGAACTGCGTTTTTTTTTTTTGCTCAATTTAATCGATTTGATTTGATTTATTGATGATAATGTGTTCAAAATTTAGGGTTTTGATTCCTTATATTGTTGTTTATCAGAAAATGTACCCAATTGGATGTAATTTATTCGCTTAGAGGTGGATTTTTTAGTTAAAATGGCTAATGTAAGATGCCCTATGAATAACAGAATTTTTTTTTTTTTTCCTTTTTTTTTTTTTTTTTTGTTAATTCATAATCGAATTTTTTGTAATACATGATCGAATTTTTTGTAATCCATGATTGAATTAGTTTTTTTTTTTTTTGTAATCCATGATCGAATTTTTTGTTTTTTTTTTTTGTAACCCATGATAGAATTTTTTGTAATCCATGATCGAATTTTTGTAATCCATGATCGAAATGTTTGTTTTTTAATCCATGATCGAATTTTTTGTTTTTGTGTTTTTTGTAACCCACGATAGAGTTTTTGTAATCCATGATCGAATTTTTTGTAATCCATGATCGAATTGTTTTTTCTTTTTTTGTAATCCATGATCGAAATTTTTGTTTTTTTTGTTTTTCTTTTTTTTTAATCCATGATCAAATTTTATGTAATCCATGATCGAATTTTTTGTAATCCATGATCGAATTTTTTGTAATCCATGATCGAATTCTTTGTAATCCATGATTGAATTTTTTGAAAATTTGTGATTTTTTTTTTTTAATCCATGATCGAATTTTTTTTTGTAATCCATGATCGAATTTTTTGAAAATTTGAGATTTTTTTTTTTTAATCCATGATCGAATTTTCTGAAAATTTGTGATTTTTTTTTTTAATCCATGATCGAATTTTTTTTTGTAATCAATAATCGAATTTTTTGAAAATTTGTTAATTTTTTTTTGTAATCCATGATCGAATTTTTTGAAAAATTGCTGTACTTTTTTTTTTTTTTTTTTATCCATGATCGAATTTTTCGAAAAATGATGAGTTTCCAAAAAGATGTGAACATCGTGATAAGGTTTTGATTATCATGATGTATTAAACCCAATTTTTAATTTTTATTGTTTGAGTTTGCAGTCCCTTTTTTTTTTTTTTTTTTTTTCATAATCAAATTTTTTGAAAAA